TGTGTTTGTGTAAATGTTTGTGTTTGTGTAAGTGTTTGTGTTTGTGTAAATGTTTGTGTTTGTGTAAATGTTTGTGTAAATGTTTGTGTTTGTGTAAATGTTTGTGTTTGTGTAAATGTTTGTGTTTGTGTTTGTGTTTGTGTTTGTGTTTGTGTAAGTGTTTGTGTAAATGTTTGTGTTTGTGTAAGTGTTTGTGTTTGTGTTTGTGTAAATGTTTGTGTTTGTGTAAGTGTTTGTGTTTGTGTTTGTGTAAATGTTTGTGTTTGTGTAAGTGTTTGTGTTTGTGTAAATGTTTGTGTTTGTGTAAATGTTTGTGTAAATGTTTGTGTTTGTGTAAATGTTTGTGTTTGTGTAAATGTTTGTGTTTGTGTTTGTGTTTGTGTTTGTGTTTGTGTAAGTGTTTGTGTAAATGTTTGTGTTTGTGTTTGTGTAAATGTTTATGTTTATGTAAATGTTTGTGTTTGTGTAAATGTTTATGTTTGTGTAAGTGTTTGTGTTTGTGTATGTGTTTGTGTAAGTGTTTGTGTTTGAGTTTGTTGCAGCTTTTTACCCTGTGGTAGACAATGATAGTTCACTGTAAAGATAGAACAGTTCGTTAAATAAGATAAGATAAGATAATATTTTATTATCCCATTATATAAACTAATGATGCTTGTGTTTTTATAAATATATATGTTGTTATGTTGTACTTACTTTACCTTTTTCTTCCGCTCTTGTACCGGTGGGTGTCGCAAGGAGACACAGGCACCTGTTTACCTATAATATGTCGTATAATTATATTATACAGTAACGATTCTGTTGGCACTGACATTTGGCCCATGTTTCAGAAGAAGCCACACTCTCCCCACCCCTTGAAATTAAAACAAAATTAGCCTTAAATTCTCATAAGAGCATGTCAGAGTCAGATATTCATGATTTTAAAGATCAAATGGTTGCTTTTAAGCACATGGGGGCTATCCCGAAAAATTCTGTTTTGAGAAAATGGAAGGTAAAGTTTTTGCCCCTGTTTTAGTTTCTTTAAAAGTCCGGGAGAGTTTTCTCTATAACCAAACAAATATACCCACCAATGAAACCAAACTTCTGGTGTAGGTCAAGATGTCTGGAAACCCCGAAATATGGGTTAGCCTGCTTGTCCTTAAAAGCAATTAACCAATTGACAATTTATAAATTTATTGTAGGTTTCAGTCTCTTTGTAATCCTATTGTGTGAAATACTCCAGAATTGAGCCATTGCATTCCAGTTCCTTTAAAAACTGAGAGCGTCTGCTTTTTTGGTGGTTTTCTTTTTTTCGAAGTTGCACAAATAACATGTCAATTGGTCACTTTTAAGGACAAGCGGGCTAACCAAGATTTCGGGGGTTTCCAGAAATCTTGACCTACACCAAAAGTGGGTATTGCCCTACCTATAGGAGAAGTTTGGTTTCATTTGTGTGTATATTTGTTTGGTTATAGAGAAAACTCAACTTGTCTTTTAAGACACTGCACAACGGTCCAAAAACTTTACCCTCGATTTAAAAAACTACAACAGCATTTTCGGGATAGCACCCTTGTGCTTAAAAGCGACCAATTATGTATTAGAGACATAACGTTTGGTCAGACAAGGTGCAATATCTTCATGACCTCACTCACTCCCGTTGCACACTCACTTACTCTCTCACTTTTTTCATCACTCCCTCCGTCACTTCATCCGTCACTCACTCACCCCCTCGCTTCATTCGTCACCCACTCACTTATTCACTCACTCAATCACTCACTCACTCACATACTCCCTCACTCCCTCCCTCACTCCCTCCCTCACTCCCTCCCTCACTCCCTCCCTCTCTC